GGGAGGCAAAAGACTTCTATGTCAACATACTAAAGGCTGGATACCCACCTTCACCTGGGGGGGGTTAGAAAGAAAAAGGAGATGTTACAACAAGAGAAAGACAGAAAACAGATACAAACCTATGCTGAAGTTGCAGCTGGAGAAATTAGCACAGAAGAAGATCTACAACTTGGGGGCCCATCCCCAGTTCTTGAACCACCTAAGAAGATAGAGGAACCAAGAGAACAACGACTGACACGCGCAACCTATGAACATCAAGAACAACAACTAAAAGTGCAACAATCTCAAGACTCATCTCAAGAAGTCGAAAAAACAAAAGCAGTGGGAGGGGCTAGGCTGAAGAGTAAGATGGAGGAGGATATTCAGTGGATGCTCGCAAAGCTTCGAGGGGCCAAAGATGGCAACTAAATTCCTATCCTGGAATGTTAATGGTTTAAATTCACCACAAAAAAGAAAGTATTTCACTATTTGAAACAATTTAAGAACGATGTTATTTGCTTGCAAGAAACACATATTAGACTATCAGACCAAAAATATTTGATAAATTCAAGATTAGGTACACATTTTGTGGCATCAGCATCAGAGAAGAAAAATGGGTTAGTTATATATGTAAAGAAAGGAGTACCAGCTAACTTAATCGAGGCAGATGCCCTAGGTAGATATATTGCAATTGAATTATTAATTCAGAATGGAAAGATGCTTTTAATTGGAATCTACGCACCCAATCAACATCAAGATAAATTTTATAAATTTTTACACACTAAAATAATACAATGGGACTATAAATCTTTTATATTAATGGGTGATTGGAATGGAGTAATAGATACACAGAAAGACAAAAAAAGTTTGTCAAAGATTTCAACACGTGCTAAATTACCTAAATCCTTCTTTGATATGATGGAATATATGGAATTGAGAGACATTTGGAGAGAAAGGAATGTTGAGGAAAGAGATTTCACTTTTTTTCCCGATAGACATCAATCCTTTTCTAGGATTGATTTTATACTAACTACAAATGATTTTTTTTCTAGGGTAAAGAAGACGAAGATATGTCCAAGAACTTTAACTGATCATAGTCCGGTTTGGGTGGAATTGGAACAGGAGAGGGGAGAAAGGAGGTCTTGGAGGTTACATGAAAATTTATTTAGATATGAAGAAAATGTGATTGAGCTTAAAAAACAAATGAAATAATTTTTTGCTATTAATATGCATAAGGGTAATTCTATGGAAATGGTATGGGATGCAAGTAAGGCCTATATGAGGGGAACTTTAATACATATGAATAATAAACATAGATTAAAACAACAAAAGAAGCAGAAAGAAATAGAGGAAGAAATAAAAAAGAAAGAACAATTACTTATAATTAATCCAGGAGATAAGAAAGTAAAAGAAACAATAAACATATTAAGACAGCAATTTAATATATTAATGGCTGATCAAGTAGCAACTAGTTTACAATATGCTAAACATAATACATTTTGTAATGCTAATAAACCAGGTAGATGGTTGGCCTATGTGTTGAGGAAAAAACAGAAATCACGAGTTATTGGTAAGATAGAATTTAGAGGTAAGGAAGTCTATCAACAGAATTTGATTAAAAAAGCTTTTTTAGAATTTTTTACAAAATTATATGCTAGTGATTCAATTCAAGGCACAGATATAGATAGGTACCTGAAGGAGGAGAATATCCCTGAGTTAACGTCAGAACAGAGGGAAGGACTGAATCAACCAATAACCTCAGAGGAGATTATTGTAGCAATTAAATAGTTAAAGATGGGTAAAGCTCCGGGAACAGATGGATTAACAGCTACTTATTATAAGAATTTACAATTTGAAATGGTAGAGCCGCTTAAAGCTTTATTTTGTAAAATTCAATCAGGGGGTGGAATTCCACCCTCTTGGAGAACAGCTTTTGTTTCATTGATTCCAAAAGAAGATCAAAATTGTACAAAACCTGAAAATTTTAGGCCAATATCACTTTTGAATACTGATTACAAAATCTTTACCAAGATATTAGCGAATAGACTAATGCCAGTTATGCAACAAACAGTTCACAATGACCAATCAGGGTTTATAAAGGGGAGACAAATGAAAAATAATGTTAGACAAATTGTGAATTTATTGGAATATCTGGAAAAAAAACAACCAAGTTTCTGCAGCGTTCATATTCCTGGATGCAGAGAAGGCATTTGATAGATTGAATTGGCAATTCCTGTTTAAGATAATAGAAAAAAAATGCACTTTGGGGAGTATTTTATACAATCAATCAGAGCAATATATCAGGAGCAAACAGCACAAATAATAGTTAATGGAGGCTTAACAGATGTTTTTAAAATTGAAAAAGGAACAAGGCAGGGTTGTCCCTTGTCACCATTGCTGTTTATTTTAACCTTAGAAGTTTTGTTGAACAAGATACGTGACTGATAAATTGAAGGGAATTGTAATTAGACAGCAAGATTACAGATTAAGAGCATTTGCAGATGACTTGGTTGTTATTTTATCTCAACCTATAGAATCGGTTCCACATATGTTGGAAATATTAGATCAATATGGTAAGGTATCTGGATTTAAAGTAAATCAACATAAGACAAAAATGATAACCAAAAATATGTCTTTATCTCAGAGAGAAGACCTTTGAGATAAATGGGAATAATAACGGGGTTTGAAATAGTTAAAAAGGTTAAATACCTAGGAGTATTTATTGTAGCCTCAAATACGAAATTATTTAAAAATAATTATGAAATTCTTTGGCAAAAAGTGCAGAAAGAAATGGAAAATTGGAAAAAGTTACAATTATCCTTACTGGGAAGGATAGCAGCAATAAAAATGAATGTGCTACCCAGGTTCTTATTTTTGTTTCAAATGATACCAGTGCTTAAGAAAGATGGAAATCTGAGGGAGTGGCAGAAAGGGGTTAATACCTTTATCTGGGGTGGGAAAAAACCAAGAATAAAATTGAAAATTATACAGGATGTACGTGAGAGAGGAGGTCTTAAAATGCCTAATTTAAGATTGTATTATGAAGCAGCTGTTTTATCACAAATTAGTGATTGGTTTAATTTAACTGAAGAGAGAATGTTAAATATAGAAGGTTATGATTTGTTATATGGATGGCATGCTTATTTGTTATATGAAAAAAAAGTGGATAAGGTGTTTAGAGGTCATATACTTAGAAATGCCTTGTTGAGGGTATGGAAAAAGTATCAATATAAGCTAAATTATAAGATACCTATATGGGCAAATCCTAGACATGCAATAGAAAATATAAGTATAGAACAGAAACAGGAGGTGATTACTTATAAAGAACTGCTCCTTATAGAAGGGGGCAAATTACAATTGAAATCTTTAAATGTATTGAAAGAAGAAGGGATAATCTATACTTGGTTTTTCAGTATGGTCAGCTTCAAGCTAGATGGAGGGAAGACCAAAAAATTGGTGTTATGCAAAATGAGGAAAACTTGGTTAAACAGATTAGAGACCAGAGTCAAATGCATATTAAAAGGTTGTATAATGCATTATTGGAAATAGATTCAGAAACGGAATTGGTGAAAGATTGTATGATAAAATGGGCACAAAACTTCCAGGAACCAGTGATGATGGAAACATGGGAAAAGATTTGGGTTAGAAATGTTAAATTTACACAAGCACAAAATCTAAGAGAAAATTTTTACAAAATGTTTTATAGACGGCATCTAGATCCAAAAAAATTATCATGTATTTATCCAAACTTGCAAGCCAAATGTTGGAGATGTGATTGTGAGGATGCAACTTATTACCATATATGGTGGACTTGTAAGAAAATCAAAGCATTTTGGATAAAAATTTGGTGGGTGATGCAGAATATTTTGAAAAAAAGGTTGAAATTTACTTCGCAATTGTTTTTGTTGGGTATAACTACGGATTGTACAGAACTAGAGACTAAATTGATTTTGAATATAATATCAGCAGCTAGGTTGTTGGTAGCACAATACTGGAAGAAGGACTTTTTGCCTACTATTGAAGAGTGGACATTGAAAGTAGCAAACCTAGCGGAAATGGCGAAAATTTCAGCGTGCTTGAAGGACCAAACACAAGAAAGATATATATATCTGAATGGAGAAGATGGATTGATTATATTCAAAATAAGTATCAGACAAGAAAATTTCAAATAGCTTATGAATGACTGTTAACGTTAGATGTATTATGTTACTTATAGTGGAGTTAAGGTTTCAGGGGGGGATTTGGTAATCTAAAGATAGTTAGGTTAATTTAGTTTATGATTTTTAATTCAAATACTCTGTATTTCGCTCTGGGAAGTCGGGGGGAGGGGGAAGGGGGGGTGGCAGTGGGGAGGGGAGGGTGGGGGGAATATGGGGATAAAACTTTTTTGTAAAACTTTTCAATTAAAAAAAAAAACCGGGGGCAACGGAGGACTTAGCTGACGATCCTTGCATCCAGCGCCGCCCCATCAATGAGATCAGACCACTTGGAGAAGTCGCCGCCCACGAACAACTCTCTGAGGTTCCATTGGCGGAGCAGGGAGAAACAGGGAGTCCCTCCGACCTGCTCGATGCTGCCCCTCCAACTGAACTGCGCAGGTTGATGAGGATATGTACATGCCCTAGTCACCTGAGAGACTTTGTATGCAAATAGCACCCAAAGTGACTTCTGGGAGGGGAGGAGTGTTATGTAAATAGGTTTTGTTGGCGGGAAGTTTGAATTAACTGACTAGCAGCGGATTGGCTGACCACCACAGCTGCAAGGTATATAAAGGGAGCTGTGTCTCTGGGTCAGTTGCTGGGTTCTCACCATACAATAAAGAGCTGTTGTCACTCACTGCCTAGCTTGCTGCGTCCTCATTCACCCAACTTAACAGATATGACTAAAATGTTCTAACAAAAGAACTGTATTCATATCTGTCTCCTAAATATATATCCACTTTCTTAAAATGTAGGTTACTCCAACTATAAGGACAATTGAACAGAATTTGTGGAACACAATAGTAAAAAGCTGGTTCGTACCCTTAAATATCCCATTATAACCACCATGGACTTCTCCATTGTCTGATATTTCTTCAAGATGTGCTCCATGATCTGAAGTGAAATATACAAGAGTATGCTCACTTAAGTTCCATTGATTTAATACTTGGAGAATCTGTCCTGTAAAATATATGATGAAAAGAAGAAAATGTTTTTTTTTTCAAAATACAGTACAACTTTTGAAAAGGAAAGTTACATTTATAATATCACCATGTATAAGCAAAAACTCTATAGAAAGACTCCTAGAAGACTCCATGGTCTGCGTGTGACGTATCTGGCCTGTGGGCTGCCAGTTTGATAGCCCTGATCTAGCATTTTGGTCCATTTGTGATTTTTTAATTTCAACATTCTAATCAACCTTCTGCTGTTTATTTCAGTATCCATTTTTTTGCTTAAGTTTTTAGACTTACATGAAAAAATTTTCCCTGAAGATTGAAGGAGGATCACTCGGTGTAATGAAACTTGCCCTTCTGAACATTCTTAAAATCCAAAAAGAGACTTACAGTAATGAAATGGACAAACCCAATGTGTATTTGAAGGCTTTGAATTGTGGCATATGCAAGATTGCTTTTTTGTGGCCTCCAGAGCTCTAAACCCCATTGGAGATCATTGTTTTATAGTCTCTTTGCAGAGAATCTCTGTAAGGAGCCCTTGTGAGAAATCCTGGTCCTCTCCTTGATCTGGAGAAGACATTAGACAGTCAATCCCCTTACTGGGCCCTTTTTGCACTATAACAACCAGATCCATTATCTGTGCAGCCATGTTCAGTCCTCTACTGCTTATCCAGAAATCCACCTACTTCATTTTATTTGAGACATAAATAAATATATAAACAGTTGTTTGACATTAGTAATAGGCTTGAAAATCCACCTAGCTCCTTTCTCAAAGTGCCTAATATTATTTTGTTTTAACCATTTAGTCATGACCAATTCCCTGTCAAGCACAGCTTCTTTCAATTGTTGGATGTTTAATTTTGTATCAGATTTGATGTTATCAAACCAGCATATTCTTTGCTTGCTCCTTCTTCTTGTAAGACAAAATATATTGTGTTAATAATATCCCATCTTACTGCGATTATGTAGTGACAGATCTGCAATTTCTAGTTCATGAAAAACCTTGTTGTGTCTGGATATCATTCATTTGTAGTACAAACAAATGTGGTGTGTTAAAATCTAAATAGCTTTTCAGGTGGCTTGGAGAATATTTCCTCTTTAGTATAGTACACCCATGTACAGCTGGAAAGCAAGCACATGTATACACACACACACACACACACACACACACACACACACGGAGAAAGGAAGAAATAAAGATCAAAGTATCCATCATGGGTCAAATGTCAGTGATCCATCCTAGAATATGCAACTTGGAATACGAAAAATCTTGTGGAATTCTTTATTTGAAAAGGCACCCATATGTGAAAAAGCTTGGCTTTAGTTCCTTGTAGTTTTCTGAATCCAGAAGTGTGAACCAAATCCAAAGATTTAATTAGAATGACCAAAACAATGTTGTATAATTGCCACACAAACTCTGTGTCTTTCATACAGTATATCTGTATGAAATAAAACAATGCACATTCAACAGTTGGAGATTATATCCCTACACTGTTTTCATTGCCTGTCCTTGATCTCCCCCACCCCCCCGGTGATACTTCTGGCCATGGGCAATCATAGAAGTGCTAAGTGATAAAATATGCATTATGCCATTGTAATGCAAATTTTGCCTCACATGTACCTATGTGGAACATCACAAGGCATATATGAAAGTTGAGACATGACATATATTTCATTATTTTGCCATCATTGGGGCTGGCTAGTTTCTGATGTTAGCTTGAACTTTTGGAAGAAAATGAACATAATAATATAAGTACAGTAAATAGGTTCTTCCCATTATAGTTGTTTGTCAACCGTCCCATTTGATACATCCAAAAAAAGAAACTACTGGCATGTAGGAACTACCAAGAGTAAAGCTTTATTGAAAGATCCATTTAGGCACAGCAGAAGCAAAGCAAACTCTGAGGTTTTCCTGAGAAAACCCACATAGGTAAAAGCCCCTGGGCCACCCACAGTTCATTGTCCACCAATTACACTTAGTACTTTTGTTTTGGGAAAAGAGTCTGCTCTAGCTGGTAGTTCCAAGAATTTGGCCTTGGTGGGTATCTCCTCTCTGGCAGCAGAAGGCTTTCATACATTCCTTAGCTCTCCCTCTTCCCTAGGAATTTACCCTTCCCATTTCTGTCTGGCAAACTGCAAGCTGAAAGTTGATGTAGGCAACAATGAAAGTGAGTCAGCTTTGTCCCTCTGGCACCATTTTTGTTTTGTTTTTCCATAAGAGGAAATGAAGGAAATATCAGAAAACAGAGAGTAATAGCACCCTCTGACACCAGTCTTGAAAAATACTACCAAGAGAAATTCAAAAGAAAATTCAAGCACGTAGAGAATAATTTTTTTTAAAAAAATGACAATCTTTGTGGGGAAGGACATTTCTGAGAAGATAAGACATTTTTAACAGATATATATAAATGAAAGTTAGAAGTGGATTTATACATTAAAAACACTTGAAAAATTATCTTGCATTTAAAACATCTAAGCTTTGCTACTCAACAAGCTGCACAACCCCTAGCAACAGTTAAGACATGAAGGTATAAGTGCCTTCTTATGTTTATAGTTTATTTATTTATTATTTATTATTGCGATTTATATGCCGCCTTTCTTCCTAGAGACTCAAGGTGGCTTACAAAATGACAACTTCAATACAAATCACAATACAATGCAAAATAAAAATCAATAACCCAATTAAAACTATTTAAAATTATGACAGTGTACCCCCAAACGGATCAGTTTAATTGGCGGAAGAGCCACGTCTTCAGCTCGCGACGGAAGGAAAGAAGGTCAGGGGCTGTCCTGAGCTCAGTAGGCAATCCATTCCAGAGGGTCGGGGCTCCCACAGAGAACGCTCTCCCCCTGGGGGTTGCCAGCCGACATTGTTTGGCCGACGGCACCCTGAGGAGGCCAACTCTGTGAGAGCGCACAGGACGATGGGAGAAGGGCTGGAGATGGTCCTGCAGGTACCCCGGGCCTAAGCCATGAAGGGCTTTATAGGTGAGCACCAGCACCTTGAAACGTATCCGGAGTGCCACCGGTAGCCAGTGCAGCTCACGCAGGAGAGGTGTTACACGGGAGTATCTAGACACTCCCATAACTACCCGCGCGGCTGCATATGTTCACACAGATTAAACATATTCTGAGGATCTTCTGGTCAGGTTTTAATTTATTTATAGTGGTACTCCCTGAATCAGCTTTTGTTCTCTAAGGGGAGTTTTGTAATAGCTTACTTATATGAGATTGGCCTCAATGTAACCTTATACCAATGTTTCCTTAGTTGGTACCTCAGAATGCCTTCAGAGCACCTACAGCTGGCTGTATCAGTGTACTAATTTCCATGAAAATTTTCTCTGTGTGAGGCAGGTTAGTCCTGTAACTTTTGCATACATAGTTGGTCCAGGATTGTATATGTACCAAACAGATGTGACATTTCAAAAATATGAAGCAAGCGCAGAGAGAAGAGAAAAAAATGATAGCTCCTAGTTAAAATTAAACTGCATATAAAATAAGGTACTCTTCTACACAGAAATCACTCTTATACAAATGCAGAAATACAAAGGCAAACACATATTCATTTCTTTTCTCTCTGCAGAAATAAAGGTGTGTGATAACTGAGCGAAGAAAAGGAAGAGCTATGTTGCAAAGGGAATAAAAGAGAAAAGGAAAAACCAAACTTAATGGAAACACATAAGCAAACAGGGAAAGAAAGAAGATATAGAAGCCCTATTAAGTGTTAAAAGATTTAAATGAAACATTACATTAAAATTAAAAATTAAAATTTCCTATTCTAGTAGCCCCTTCCTTCAGGATAATGTTCATAGGCTCCATATTTTTCAGTGGCATGTACACTTCCTGTCTATATCTCAGTTAAAAAACCTCCTCTTTTTGTTTTTATTAACAAATGCAAGATTACCCCGTCAATCAGGTAAGGATTGGGAGAAAATGACTGCAAGGCTAACTATTAGATAAATAGATAAGAATGCATATACATTTTTCATATTTTCCCCTGCGCCACAAAATTAGATATACAATATCCTTCTGTCACTTTTTAAACAATACCTAAGTTCAGTTGTAAAAAAAACAAGTATTGTTTGAAAGAAAACATCATTCCAAAACATCCAACACATTTCAAACATTGTCTTTTAATTGTCTTTTACATTTAAAATCCACATTGATCCTCATAAATAAATTCTTGCAAAATTATTTTCAGTGTATCAGCTAGAATTGATGTGATCAACTTGTAGTCATTATTCAATAATGATATTGACCTACAGTTTCTTTTGAAGTCAAATCTTGTGGCTCTTTATTGGCCTCTTTCCAACTAATTAACTTATTCCAAATAAAGTAATTCAATGTAAATCACTAAAAAGTTATTTTGATTGGTTGGACAATGAAAAGTGACCATCAAATCAAAGAAAACTTTTGGCAATATACCAAAAGTTTTGGTATATTGCCAAATATACCATTGAATGATTTTAATATTTTTGTCAGAAGTTTTATCTGGTTGTGGGGAGATCACTTCATTCCAAACTCTAATCAAACACCAAGTTTCCAAAGAAAAACCTATTAACTTCCCTATAACTCCTTTATAGCAGCGATCCCCAATGTTTGTGGCTTGGTGGCCCAGCAGTGGTAGGGGAACTGGGCCGTGTGAGCAGTGGGCTGGTGCACAAGTGCACATGCGCACCTCGACTTGCACGAGTAGTGGGGTGGCACACCTGCATGTGTGCACAGCTTGACTTGTGCAAGTGGAGCTGCGCATGCATATGCATACTTGCCAGCACAAGTCAAGCTGTGTGTAAATGTGTGCATGCTGGCTCACCACTTGCACAAGTTGAGTCATGAACACAAGCTGCACACCAGCCCGTTGCTCGCATGGCCTGGTTCCAAATAGGCCCACTAGTGGGCTGCAGCCCAGGGGTTGGGAACCCCTGCTTTATAGAACAATACTATGTCCTCAATTGAGACAAAGTTCCGTGAAAATGAACTTCCATGTCAACAAATGTACCATGCTCA